CATTAAGCATGTTGTACAGAGTTCACATAAGCAATTAAGACACGTAAACATGTTGTATTAAACTAAACAGGATAGCTACACATATTGGAATAACTCAGTTAAGAATGAAAATAGATTAATACTCATTAAAATGGTATAACTTAAGATAAAAGAAAAACATGTTGCTGCTTAGTAAGAAAATCGGGATTTTCCACAACTAGTCCGTGTACGTACTCGTCACCTTACGTACATGACGCTCACATATCACAATAGTTCCAAATCTTAAGGCGATTTCCCATACATAAAGTTAGGCAAGCCACTTACCTCGAACCAAGTTCAATCAATCGATCACAATACCTTTCCCACGAATATCCGGCTCCGAATGGCCCAAATCTAGCAAAAAGTAATTACATATCATAAATACAACCACAATAGACTCGTCTAATTAATGAAATAATCATTTTAACAAAAATTTTGAAATTAACTCAAAAATTGTCCGTGGGGCCCACGTCTCAGAATCGGATAAAGTCATAAAATATGAAGACCCACTCACTCACGAGTTTAACTTATAAAAATTATAAAAATTACTCAAATCCGACCACAAATCCTCTTTCAAAACTCGAAATCTTTATTGAAGAAGTTCTTCCATTTTTCTCCCAATTTCAACCCCAAAATCCGAAATTAAAAAGGATATTAATGATAGATTAGCGGAACATAACCAAAATGGAGTGTATAATCATTACCCAATCGATATCTCTGAAACTCCCTCAAAATCTCGTCCAAATCCGAGCTCCCAACTCAAGTTTTTGATAAAATGGCAAAACCCCAATTTTTGGAATGTTTAAGCACTGCCCAGTGATTCCTTAATCGCGATCGCGAAAAAATACTTACGATCGCGAAGAACAACTTCGCTTCCTCAGAAATTTACTTCACGCGAATGCGTAACACCTCATGCGAACGCGATGCACTAGCTGCTCACACCTACCCGATCGTAATTATCCTCATGCAACCGCGAAGAGTAACACTCAAACTCCACTGCTGCCTCACTTCTTCTTCGCGAACGCGGCCTGGCCCACGTGTTTGTGGTGCACTGCCTGATAACCTTACGCGATCGCGTCTTCATCTTCGCGAACGCGAAGAGAAATTTTAGCGGACCTCTCAGATGACCTACGCGATCGCGATAAAGAAAAATGTCTGCAATAACACCAGAAAATCTGCCAACTCCCTAAGTCCAAAAATGACCCGTTGAGCATCCGAAACACACCCTAGGCCCCCGGGACCTCAACCAAACATACCAACAAGTCCTAAAATACCATACGAACTTAGTCGAGCCCTCAAACCACATCAAACAATGCTAAAATCACAAATCATCCTCTGATTCAAACTTAAAGAACTTGAAACTTCTAAATTCGACAACCGATGCCGAAACCAACTAAACCACGTCCGATTGACCCCAAATTTTGCACACAAGTCATATTCAATATTACGGACCTACTCCAACTTCCGGAATCGAAATCCGACCTCGATCTCAAAAATTCCACTACCGGCCCAAAACTCCAAAAATGCGACTTTCGCCATTTCAAGCCTAAATGAGCTACGGACCTCCAAAATACAATCCGGATACGCTCCTAAATCCAAAATCACCTAACGGAGCTAACAAAACTGACGGAGTTCCATTCTGGAGTCGTCTTCACACAGTTCCGACTATGGTCCAAATCCTAAGGCTTAAACCTCAATTTAGGGACTAAGTGTCCCAAAATACTCCGAAACCAAAACAAAACCTCCCGGCAAGTCACAATAATATAAATAGATATGGGAGAAGCAGTAAATAGGGGATCGAGGCTATTACTCTCAAAACAATCGGCCGAGTCGTTACATTGATATAAGAAGATAAGTATATACATAGTCCAAATTAAAGTTAATGCAGAATTTGATTTTTCGCACAAAGGTGAATGAGGAAAACGATATTTTTTACCCGTAAAAAGGTACAATTAAATTTATACGTGATTTTTAGATAAGTGAAATAATTCGATTCTGAAATAATACAAGAATTGAAGCAATATGTAATACTTAGCCTTGATATGAAGATGAAATAGCTGAAACAGTAAATCCGGGAGCAGAGTTTCCGGGCACAATAGTAATGAAATCGAAAAACAAGAAGATAAAATTGTATAGAGCTTTGAGTAGATTATAGCGTAAGTTTGCCAAACTGAGCTCACTATTTATAGCTGCATATAGGGAATAAGGTCCTAGGATCATGACCTTCTTTAATGTCAATTATGAGTGAAAATGCCATTGAAGAGTGTGTAACGATGAACATAAATGAAAAATCCTTTGTAACGGGATGTGTACTAAATGCTATGGAATATTCTCTATTAAATGCTACCGGGTGGCAGACATCTATTGCGTCTTTATGAACGTCATTCCTTCTGGTGGTAAATGGAACGATTGTCTTTGGTTTTAACATATTCTCTGCCTTCGGCTCCACGTGCCACTCTCTTATGCAGCCATTTAACATATCATATTTTACCATATACAGATACACATTTTAGGAGATCATGTGGAGATTGAAGAGATTAATTTCTTGTGAATCACAAATATATAAAACAGAAAGTAGACCAAATCAATCAATTCAATTTTATCGGTTAGAAATTAAAGTAAGAATATATATATTACTTAAGAGTTAAGTGTGTTTATTTTCGCGTGTTATAATTAAGTATGGAGGAATATTTGCCTTTATTAGGTAATGATAGGACTATAGAATGATATTGTATTTTGAAATAATGGCTTGTTGTGAACACAAAACATAATCTTTCTCACTTAGAAGAAAAAACAGAGAAAAGCGAAGGACTGAAGATTAATCGGCCCCCACACGTTTCCGCGGTTACTAATTAGGGTTCCACTGATGAATTCTATAATTTATTCAACAATAGTAAAATAACAAGGGAAAAAGCACATTTAGAATGCAGCTATTATTTTATATTTGGAATTAGATTTAGTGCTTAAACAGCTGTCTTGAAAGCAACTCAACGATAAGATTTACTAGCTCTTTGCTTTGTTCTCTTCTTACTATAATAATTAGTAAGTATAATCATATGGTCTTTTTTATTTATTTCTAATTACTTTCTCATGTCATTTCGAAACGGATTATTTGAATAAGAAGCTTGATAATACTATGAATTCCATTAAACTATAATAAATGAAGCATGAGATGAGGAAGATCATTAAATATTATTATATAAATTGTGTTTACTGATAGATTTATTATGTAATTTGCCTTTGAGACAAGAACATAATGATAAACTCAAAATTTAGATAAACAAATTGTAAGGATATGAATGTGATAAAATGATCGTGAGAACTACATACTGTAATCTTCTATAAGTTTTATTGATGGAAATGCTATATTTTCCTAGCAGAGATATAGCAACAAGTTCTCGAATTATGTACTGGTCACACGATCTAGTCATAATGCATAAAAATTACAATGTAGGAATGAGAGTTGATCCACCATGTGTTGGTGGAAAATGAATATTAAATTTAGATCAACCTGAATCCATATTAAAATAATTTATGATATATAATTATTATATATTTATTAATTATAAGATAATAAAGAGCGCTGATGCATATCACGTTTGCTGAGCCCTGAAAATTTAACAGACAGTTAAAATTAGATTGGGAATTTGAAACTTCACTCACAAAATACAAGAAATTATTAGATATTATCATAACTCAAGCTTTCGATAAATCTCAATAAGTAGTTTGCTAACCTACTAAATACTAATCAAAACATATATGCCCCTCCATCACATAAGCAAATTTAAATGTAAAATAGTAAGACGTACCTTTTATATTAGTAGTTTATAAGTACGTATTTTATTAATTTTTTTTGAAGAATTTAAAAATCACATTGAAAATATCCAAATTTGTCTATAAATAATTTAGCTACGTGCAAGCCGGCGGAACATCACATATATAAAAAAAAATAAAATAAAATAAAAAATAAAAAAATTCTCCACTTTTGTCATCTGTTAATATTGAGATCATTCGTCCTTAAAGGGGCAGACAAATGCCTTTATTCACTAACGGAATACTATTAAAAATTAATTAATCTGGTTAGTACCAGTGATAGCCACGTTAACAAAATTTAACCAAAACACTTATACCCTTGCCCTTTCTCTTGCTCACCTCTTAACCTCTGAGAAATTGTTGTATTTTCCATCGGAGAAGGTGAAGTCCGGCGATATGATAGGAGTGAATGGAGATCAGAGAAGATTTTGGGATAGCTTCCTCCGCCGGCGCCGGCGACGGTGCCACCTCTTTTGCTCCTTGATCCTTGACCAAATGCAGCTCCAACCCCACAACTTGCTTTCAGTTTTTACCACCTATTAACTATGGTGAAAAAGGTGAAGTTTTAACTTTTTATCACTCTTTAATTGATCTAAGCACCAATTTTGTTGAGTTTTCTGCGTGTAAACATCTGGGTAGCGAGATTTGAGCATCATTTTCTTTACTTTTGCTTCCCTTTTAGTAATTTTTTGCCTTTTGTTTTCTCTTTTCAACTTTACTTTTTTTCCCTCCTTTTCACCACTGCTCCTTTTGCAGGCGTTCTTCTTTGTTTCACTCTTTAATTTCTCACTACATCAGTGAAAAAGTTGGACTACTATTTTATGACATGAAATAGGAAGGTCATAAGAAGTTTCCCATAAAGATTATGAATAGTGAAAAAGGTATAAAAGTCTTATAGCCGTTTTTTTTTTCTACTGTAAAGTTAAATTTAAAAGGAAAAACAATTCTTTTTTGTTAGAAGCAGAAACATTTCTTTTTCAAAAAAGTAGCTTCTCGCAAAAGCACTTCTTCGAAAAGTAATTTTGAAAAAAATACATTTAAAACATTTTTTAGTTTTTAGAAGTTTGGTCAAAACACTAATTACCGCTCAAAAATACTTTTCAAATTAATTAGCCAAACACAATTTTTTTTTTTTTTTTTTTTTTTTTTTTTTTTTTTTTTTTTGAAAAACACTTTTGACAAAAATAATTTTCAAAATAAACCTATTACAATTATTAAGCACCGAGTGACCAATTGTGTGAGCTATCAATAAATGTAAATTTGACACTCATAAGATAGTTTTTACGTAGTAATGATGTGTTCAATTTGCCACAAACAAAGAAAGACCATGTTTAAAGCACAAAGATAAGAACTGTGAGGTCGGCCTTGGTCCAGGGGCAGAGCCGGAGATTAAGTTACGAGTTCGATTGAACCCAATAACTTTCGTCCAAACTCTGTATTTGTCTTAAAAAATTTATTTAATATATTCAAAGTAGTAGTTTAGAACCCAGTAATTTAAGAAGACTAGAATACTGAAACCATAAACTTCAAATCCTGATTCCGCGTAAGTTTGGTCCATGCCATTTGAGGTTCAATCAAGTAAAAAACAAAAGAAAGTGGACAACAAATAGTTGCCTGGGACCTTCTTAGGAGTTGGACCCCTTCACAATAATGTCACAGAGACAGTGATGGAACATACTACCTCGGCCTAATTTTATAAAGCAGTGTAAATTAACGTGTGGAAAAAATGTATATAAGTACAAATATGGAATGATAAGAAGACTTCATACCAGAAATTGACTTAAAATGTGACAACAACTCAGATATCATTAACATTAACAATACTATCAAGAAGCTTAATGACAAGTCTAACGGCTTAAAACAAGATGAATTCTTAAAAATGTATCAATGCCTAAAATATACAGTAGTACTTAGATATTATATTTATACAGCGCTCTATTTACAAGCTAGTGCCCACATACTCTCTACTTAGACATATTAGGTGCTAACATGTATTACCACCTAACCTCCGGATGTTATTCATTTTCTTTACGACAACTTTGTAACTACTGTGGTTTATGTAAAACTTGTACTATCTCAGTCTCAAATTTTATATTTTAATTGCAATTAAAAGTAAAATTAATTCTAATAGGGAATTTGTCTTGATTGACTTTTCATATGTTTTCTTCGTACTTTGGCTTTTTTCATTTTTGGCCAAGTCAGGTCGTCTTCCATATTTCACTCTTTAACTTCTCACAATAATGAAATAAAGGCAGGGTTCAATTTTATGACAGATTGGAAGACCAAATTCTGCATTCACATAGATGAGAACTGATTTGCCTCTTAGGCTTCAACTATTTCTCCTTAATTATTAAGCACCTCAACAACCCAATTGTGTCAGTTTTCTCACCATATACCAAAAGCTGATAATTTACTGTTAGTTGATCTTTAGCAATATTCTTCAACAATGTCTTATGCTTCTCCTTCCAAAGATTGGAAGTATGATGTCTTTTTGAGCTTTAGAGGTGAAGATACACGTAAAAACTTTGTGAGTCATCTCTATAATGCTTTGAAACAAAGAGGAATTGATGTTTTTAAAGATGATGAGCGTCTGGAAACGGGAAAACCAATTTCTGATGAACTTTTGAAAGCCATAGAAGACTCCAGATTTGCGGTCGTGATATTTTCAAAAAGCTATGCATCCTCAAGATGGTGCTTAGAGGAACTTGCACACATCATAAAGTGTCAAAATGAATTGGAGCAGACTGTGATTCCAATCTTTTATGATGTGAGTCCGTCTGATGTACGCCATCAAAATCCACCATTTGCTGAGTCATTTTCCCAACATGAGGGAAAATACAAAGATGATATGGAGAAGGTTCAAAGATGGAGGGATGCATTTGCGGAGGCTGGAAAATTATAAGGACATGATCTAAAAAATTATAAGTATGCTTTCTTTTTCTTTTTCTGTTCTGCTTTCTTGTTTTACATGAGGAAATAGGACCAAACTATAAGTTAAGTTACATTTCCAAACAAGTATCATCTGTGTATTTTGCCTAAAAAGAAAAGAAGATCCGATCCAGGAAGCAGAGACATGTAGTCGGTTTACTTGTATTTATAATTAAAAAACAAATTTAATGAACAGACGTTGAGCATGTGCTTTTTTAATAATGTACCGACGGTATGGTATATCGGCATCATTGGAAGATGTCATGATTTTCTTAAGATTCTCCAGATTTGTCTTATAATATCGTCATTTTGTTCTGCAATATTTTGAAAATGTTTAGTTGATTATTGGACTTAGATAGGTAAAACAGTAAAATTATGCAATCAGGAATATATAATTGATGGAAGATATTTTTCTGATTTATCTAGATAAGGCTTACAATTATTTCTAGAGTAGATTTTTAGAGATATAACATTATAATTAACAAGAGTAGTTGATATAAGCTATCCTGTAGCATTATTGTGGTCATTTATTTTAGAGAACAGTCTATTAAAACACTATGTTAACTTCTGTTTAATTTACGTAGTGTCTCTTTGCATCGTAATGTGTAGGGATGAGGTTGATTGCATCAATAAGGTAGTTGATTACATATTACCAAAGTCACTTCAAGCTATCCCACCGTCATCCGGAAGCTTAGTGGGTGTGGAACCTCAAATTGAGAAAATAATTTCATTATGGGATATGGAATCAAATGATGTTCGTTCCATTGGAATATGGGGGATGAGCGGTATTGGCAAGACAGAAATTGTAAGTATCATATATGAGAGATATCGTCATCTATTTGATGCTGATTGTTTTCTTGGTGATGTTGGAGAAATGTACCAGAAAAAGGGTCTTACATGGATACAACAAGCTCTCATCCGTAAGCTATTGGGGAAAAAGATACCTATAACTAGTGAACGCGAAGGTGCCATAATTATAAGGAATCAGCTTCGCTGGAAGAAAGTTTTGGTCATTCTTGATGATGTAAACCATCTAAATCAACTAAAAGTTTTAGTTGGAGAGACAGAGTGGTTTGGCAGGGGTAGTAGAGTTTTGATTACCACGAGAGACAAGCACCTGATAATCGCTCATGTAGGGGAGAATAAAGTGTATGAAGTCCTACTATTATCTGAGAATGATGCTCTTGAACTGTTTTGCCTGCATGCTTTCAAGAGAAAATCTCCAGAGAGAGATTTTGAAGAGCTTTCAAGGGAAGTGGTGAAGTATGCTGATGGGCTCCCTTTAGCTCTTGAAGTTTTGGGTCCTTCTTTTTGTGGACGAAACAAAGAGCAATGGAGAGATATAATTGATAGACTGAAGAAAATCCCTAATGATGACATTTTAGGAAAACTTAAGATTGGTCTTGATGGATTAAATAAAGATGAGATGAGAATATTTTTGGATATCGCATGCTTGTACAATCATGAACAAAGATATTATGTGGAACGAATACTTAAAAGTTGTGGTATTCATCACTTGATAGGAATAAGCCGTCTCATTGAAAAATCTCTCTTATCCATCAGTAGAGATGGCTACAGCTACATATTTAATATGCATAGTTTGATTAGAGGAATGGGTGAAAATGTCCTCAAGGAAGAGCACACAAACAGCAGAATATGGCTTCATGAGGAGGTTCATGACCTTTTTGCTGGAAAGTTGGTAAGGGATATTTGAACAAAATTGATAGTTTTGTAATCTGATAATATTGTGACTTTGTTCTGTTGAGTTTTTTCTGCTTTTTTTTTTTAATGATTCCTTGACAAATAGATATATGTTTCTTTCTTTACAGAAAACTAAAAAGGTGGAAAGCCTAAAGATCCCAAAAGGTTACAATTTTGAAGATGAAAATATAAATCATAACAAGGTATTCAAGAGGATGCAAAGCTTACAGGTATTAATAGTTGATAATAAAATTTTTTGCTCGGAAAGCACTGTCACTTGTCTTCCTTCTAGCCTGCGGTGGATTCAATGGCCGTTCTATCCTTCAAGTTCATTGCCGCAGCAGTTTGAACCATCACACCTCGTGGGGCTTAGATTATATAACAGTCGGCTTGTCGAACTTTGGCCAATATCAAAGGTATACTTGCGCCTCTCTCTCTCTCTCTCCAATACAACAAAATTCCATTTTTTTGTTTGCTAGGTTTAATGCACATAAATTGATCACTCCACGATTTAAATGCAAATGCGATAAATGTTTTGATATACACAATTAACATCAATATGTTTGGTAATCACTCACTTGAAAAGTGGAAACTTAAACTTACAGGTCCAGTGTACAAAATTCATCCAAAATCACACCTATTATCTTTCCCTTTCACTCCAACAACTCATATTTCCATCTTTTCCCCCCAATTAAATCTTCTAAATATTTAGGTGGAATCGAACTATGGTGACATTCACGAATCACAATCTAAACTTTAACAAATCGATGTATGTCCTGTTTTGAGTTAAATAAATTGTATATCAAAGATGGTTGAAGAAACTTTTTTTGTAGGAGCAAATATAATAATTAAATCTACCGTGAATCATGCATGTTAGGACGTTCGACCACGGAAGCTATTCACCTTGTAAGGAGGTTGGTTGAGCAATATAGGGAGAGGAAGCAGAAATTGCATATGGTGTGCATTGACCTAGAGAAAGCATACGATAAAGTTCCGAGGGAGATTTTACGGAGATGTTTGGAGGCTAGAGGTATGCATGTTGCTTATATTAAGGTGATTAAGGACATGTACGAGGGAGCTAAAACTCGGGTGAAGATGTGTGCCGGG